CCCAGACGCTATATCTTTTGATAGCCGGGCACCATCAGCTTTCTTCACCACATTTACTTCCTTACAGGAGTTCCAGAAAGCCTCACTTTCCTAGTTACAGTCTTAGAAACCCAGAGAATTTATACTGAATTATACACATAGAAATTGTTAAATTGGTACACATTCTGCTGTGCCTACTCTGAACAATAGAAATAGCGCATTCGTTTTCGAAGTAAAATGGAGACCAGTATGCTGCAGTTCTGCGGTAGGAAGAATGGTGATCTCCAGATCCAACAACAGCACCTTAATCCCCGTGACTGTAGGGCAAGAGGGAATTAAGGTACAGATGGAATGAAGGTTGTTCATCAGCTGACCTTGAGACAATCCTGGATTCTCCAGGTGGGCTCAATGTAATCATAAGTGTCATTATGAGTGAGCAGAGGAGGCAATACAGTCAGCATCAGAGTGATGCAGTGTGAGAGGATTCTGGCTACTAACATAGGCTTTACATGTGGAGGAAGGGGCCACCAGCCAAGGAATGCAGTCAGCCTCTAGAAGCTGGAATTAGAAAGAAGACAGAATTTAGCCCCGGTATCTGCAGGGTGTGAGTCTGTGTGTGTTGTGGGGGTGAGGGGGGTGTTGCTTCTAGGACCACTGTGGATGGATGCTCAAGCCCCTTGTATAAAATGGCATAGTCTCTGCATATCAATGAGCCTTGGTTGTGTTCTGTGTAGAAAGATAGGGCTTTCTACTCCCATAAAGGGTTACAGTCTCAGAAACCCACAGGGGCAGTTCTTGTTCTTGCCTATCCTGTGGGGTCACTAGAAGTCAGAATTGATTCTATGAGAGCGAGTTTGGTTTTATCAGAAGATCACCTATACATAGCCTCCATGCATATCCTCCCATATGCTTTCAATCATCTCTGGAGTATTTATAATACCAAACACAATGTAATTATTATGTAAATAGCAGTTTATGCTTGCTCAATCTTAGCCTTTGAGGGATTGCTTTAATCATTTAATTGCTTTTTTATTTTCCAAATATTTTCTATTGAAGTTGGATGTGGCAACCAAAGAAAGACTGCCTGTAATTATTTTTTAATAGGGGTGAGAAAATGATTCATATGACGGAAGAATCTGGTTAAAAATTAATCTCATCAATAACCTGGGAATGAGAATATCATTGATCTGGAATATTTTTCACACTAGCACACATTTTATTCAGATTTTTGTAAGCCCTGCATCAATTCACAAGAGAACCTACAATTATACAGTCTAGGAATGAGAAGGTGGCAGTGTTTTGAGTTGACCTTTGCCCTACATTCAGATTTTTTTTTAAAGGGAAAACAAAGTATTAAATGGATTTATACTGGAATGTAAGAAAAAGAACCCCAGGCTTGAGAGAAAGAGAGAGAGAGGGAACTCTGATCTAAATAGAATGTTGCATGAAGTTTAAACACAAGACTTCGAACTATTCACATCCTTCGATCCAATAATTCTGGCTACAGGAATCTGGGGGTGAGGAAGTTGATTGTGCGCATAGGGTTCACAAAGGTGTTCATCACAGCGTTAGTTCTCGAAACTCCAAAGAAACAATGGATACTTTCCTGATTAAGAAACTGCTTAAGTACATTTGATGAAATATAGTTCAAGCAATGAAAACATTTTTTTCTGTAATCTTAACGATATTTTCTTAAAAGTGAGATTTGTTAGACAAATACCAGAACGTTACTAGCGGTGTCTCCGAGTCCTGGCAGTCTGAAGAAAGTTTTTCCCACTTCACGATACTTTATAAACGTTCTATAATGAGAGTCTGGTGTAGTCACAACAGGAGAAACTAAAGGGTGGCGGCGGCGGGGCGGGGTGGCATGTGGAAGTGAATGCGACTACGTCAGGGTATGTAAAAGACACTGTAACCCTCTGCAATACCGTACACGCCCGACTGGAAACGCTGATTCCAGGGGTCAGACCACAGCTTCCAAAGGTTGTGCAACTATAAGCTGGAAGAATGCCCAGCCACGTTCCTGCGCCGGCAATTCCCACTCTCTCCCAGTTCCCGGAGCGAAGCCAGGCTGGCCTTGGGCTGTCGAAAGGGTCTGCGGAAAGGAGCTGAGCTAGCGGCACCTTTCTTCGATCGGAACCAAGACCTCGAACAGCGATTCTTTCCCTTCTCCGACACTCTCGCCCGAACGCCACCCCAGGGCCCAAGGTCCTCGCCCTCGAGGGTGAGGGCGCGGGGATGCCAGCGCAGCGGTCGCTGGGCACCCAGGGCCGACGCGAGCCGAGGGGAGGGGCCTCTCGAAGCGCGCCCCCGTGGACGGGAGGCCCGGGCGGCGAGCCAGGCGCTCTCTCCGCCAGCCCGCACTGCGCCCGCGCGGACCCTGCTCCCGGCGCGAGCGCGCGGCGACCAGCGCTTACCCGGGCTCCCCGCGGCCGCTGTCATGGTGACCGATGCCACAGTGCGCGCAGGCGCGGAGCGGTGGGCCCGCGGCGGACCGTCTCGGGTGGCGTGGAAGGCCGACTGAAGGCGCCGCGGGCTCTGGACACCGACAGCCTCGGGGGCCGCCGGGGCGCGCGCTTCCGAAGCGGAGCCGGAAAGGGGCTGGAGCAGCGCGCAAGCGCACAGGCTGTGGCTCTGGTCCCCGGCGCGCGCTTTCCACCTCCCGGGCCGACCCGGGCAGCGGCCGCGCCCCGCGCGGAGGCCGGCCTGGAGGAGCGCCGGGTGGAGCCGCCCCGCTGCGTTTCGGAGGCTGTAACTCTTGACGGGTGGAGAAAGCCCCGTCTTTCTCCCGCGGAGCCACGTCCCTGATACCGCCTTTTTGAAAAGCTTTGTTGCTAAACATTTGCTGCTAACCGCTGGGTGGACGGTTCAAACCGCCCCGCGGGAGAAAGGGAAACGATCTGTGCCTGTAAAGATTTATGGCCCGGCTTCCCTCTGTCGGGACGCTCTGAGGCGGAGGGTGGGAGTCGGTGGCACTGAGTTTGGGTGGTGGCGGAGGTTGACCGACGGAGAACTCCACCGCCACCGAGTCCATTCAGACTCACCGTGACCTTGTAGAACCAGGTGGGACGCTACCTGAATGTTTCTGAGGTTGTAAAGCCTGGTGAGAGCAGACAGCTTCGTCTTTTGCCACGCAGCCGTGGGGTTTGAACTGCTGACCTTGTAGCTAGCGGTTAACTGCTGTACGACCAGAGGCTATATGTATAAATTTAACTCTAAATTAGGCCCCTAAATTTGATTCTATTGGCCTTTTACCCAACAGCGTTATTGAGATATACAAGTCATTTATTTAGAGGGTACAATTCAATGGGATTTCATACATTCCGTTTTGCAACCATCACTACAATAAAATGTAGAACATTATCAACACCCTAAAAAGAAACCCACATCCCTTAACTGTCACCCACCTCGAGTCCCATTCAGCCCTAGGTAACCACTAATCTACTTTTTATCTCTACGGAGGGAAAAACAAACAAAACAAAACAAACTGCCATTGAGTCGAATCAACCCGTAGTGACCTGTTAGCACAGAGCAGAACTGCGCCCTAACATTCCAGGCTGTCACTCTGTAGACTTTTCTCTTCTGCATATTACATCTAAACGGAATAATACAATATATGGTCTTTTGTAAGTGATTCCTTCACTTAGCACACTATCACCACGATTGACCCATACTGTGGCATAGTGGTTACACGTTGAGCTGCTAACCATAAAGTCAGGAGTTCGAAACTACCGTCAGCTCTGTGGGAGAAGGACAGGGCTTTGTACTCCCATTAAGAGAGTATGAAACAGAAACTCGAGGAGCAGGAGACGGATAGAGAAGTGGTGTCTCCGTTCCTAAGACCATTGGAAATATGTTTCCACCCCTGTGAAAGGTCGTTCAACCACCAAAGGTGTCGTGGCCCACCGGTTGAGAACCCATGTCTTAGAGGATTGCTGTGATTCAGCATTGACGCAGTTGACAGTGAGCTTGGTTTTGTTGTTAGCGTTTATCAGTACTTCATTTGTTTCTGTGAATAATCTTTTGTTGTATGTCAGTAGTTCAAATTCACCAGCTACTTCAAGGGAGAAAGATGTGGCAACATGTTTCTGAAATTGTTTCAAGCCTTGGACACCTTAGCAAGTTGCTCTGACTTGGGATTGACTCATTCGCAGTGGGTTTTGCTTTTCAATGGATCTGTGCAAGTCGAAAAAGTATTGCAGTGACTGGGGTTCCAGTTTATGCATACACAGGTTTATCCCCAACAAAACGTGCTTCAACATGTCTGTTTAGTGGATGGTTAGTTTTCTCAGTAATACATTTGTCTTAGATTTGTTAAAATGCCTTCACACACACACACACACACACACACACACACACACACACGCGTTTAGTCTGCTGACCCAGAGACATTCAAGGCAGAAGGGTCAGCTCAGAAAATTTGGGCAAATTTTTTGTTTTGTTTTTTAAGGAAGATTCCCAAAGGGTAGTCATGATAGGTATTCTCAAAAGACACAGGAAGGTCAATGGCAGCTTATTAGGAAGCTCCTTTAAGAAAATTGAAATCTGTCTTAGTGAGAAAATGGCCAGGAATGTTGCACGGAGGAATGTTTTTCCCAACATAATAATGCAACTGCTCTGTTCGTTAGTTGAGGGTAGTTTATTAGAGCTTAAATTTCTGAACACCAAGTGTATTAGTCTAGGTACTTTGGAGAAACAAATCCACAGCAACTCAGGTATAAGAGAGAGTTTTATGCAAAGAAAACGTGCATCACGAAAACATCCCAACCCAATGCTGCCCAAGCCCACAAGTCCAACATTAACCCATACCCAACACCAGTCCACAAAGTCCTTCACCTCACAAAACAGAGGCAATAATGCCAACTGCAGGAGGAAAGCTGAGTCCGTGAACGTGTAAGCATCTCAGCACTGGCAGGGGTCTCCACATGGCTGCTCCAGCACCCAGGGCTGCATCAGGATAGATCCATGCGGCTTCTCCTTGGGGATGTCTTGTAGGAAATCCATCTTGCAAGCTGAAGCAGGGAACTGCTAAGGCAGCTGCACCTGATGCAACCATCACAAAACAAGAGACCCGAGAACTAGAAAGGCGAGGCTTCATCACCCATTTATCCCTCCGCCTTTCAACCAGACCCACATGTGATTATTGGCCAGGCTGGCACAATTAACTAACTCACCAAGTTTGCAAATGGCAATGGTTCACAGTGGAAGCCCTAAATCCATTTATGAATTTCCACAAGAACCCAGCCTCCATTGAATTCCTCCTGACTACTGACCATCAGCAGAATAGTTTTGCCCTCAGGCAGAATGCATTAGAAAGTGGCTTACTATCACTGCCCTAAGGGCTCAGGGAGAAGCAGCACACACAACCCTTCTGGACTTATCTGAGTGTGTTTTTCAAGAAATTTGGGATGCAGGGGTTACAGGCCAGGAGTCATAGCCTGACTGCCTTGGTAACAAGGCCCTGAACCAATCTTATAAGCTCTTCGATCTAACAAAACGTATGTGCCCCAAGGATGGGCCAGTTCCCTTTTCTGTAGTCCGACCTAACTGTGTGGACTTGCTCGGCTGCCAATCATCCTTTTGGTTACTTTGCCCTCTTAAGTCCTCTTTCAGTCTCTGACTCTCTACAAGCCCTGGGCTACTATGACTACCTCGTGCTGTTGTTCTCCCTCTTCTTTTCCTGCTTAAGGCTTAATGTTCTTAAATTATATTTTAGACTTGGGGTCTCTATTGTACGCTAAAACATTCGTATGGGTTGTCCTAGGAGAATTTAATTGGGAAACTATCTCTACAGCCCTGACGTTGGCCCAATCGGGCTTCTTTTTGTTCTCCGTACTCAAAGGAACATGATTTGAATCCCTTGAGCTGCCTAACCTACCATTTTGAAGTGGTGTAAACTGAGAAGAACATTTTTGTGTGGAAAAATTCGAGAAATGGAAACCTTGCTTTCGGAAGTGTACAGAGCAAGATGGAGGTTATGTATGAAACAACGGCTTCGTGCTTTGAAATATTTTCAAATACTGGGTTCTATGAGTTTGTAGCCACCCGTCTGCATGTACCCTGATAGATATGCTGCATTTTATCCATCCATCAGCTGATAGTCATTTGTGTTGCTTTGGCGATGATATTAATGGTGCTATAAACATAAGCAAGGTTTTGTGTGGGTGTATGTTTCCCTTCCTCTTGGATACACACCAGAATCAAAGAACCAAACTCACTCAGAGACCCTGTAACACAGAACTGCCCCTGTGAGTTTACAAGATGGGAGTAGGGAGCCTCATTTGTCTCCTGCTGAGAGGTTTTGAACTGCTGAACTTGTGGTTATTGGCCCAATGCATAATTACTATACCACCGGGCCTCCTGCTTTGGGTATACAGTAGAGTAGAAATACTATGTCATATTGTAGCTCTGTGTTTTATCTTTTTGAGGAATGTGATTAAGATTTTATGACTAGACATACCTGGGGAAGGTGGGGGGGGGACACTGTCTGATGACACCTCCCTGAGGGTGTGGCATTTCATGTCAGAGCCCGAGCAGGACAGAGTGTTCCTGTCCCTTTGCCTGCCTGTCCCAGGAGACATCAGGGAGCTGCTGACCTTGGGTTCACTCATTTCTTTGGTTTTTCTTACAATCTTTCTCCCCTCATTTGAGACACATGTAGTACAAAACCTGAACCCTATACTGTCCAACAGGACCCTAAAGTGCTGTTTTCTTTCCTCTTTCTTCAGCCATCTTCTTTCAGTGAGTTTTTAAGTTCTAACATTTCCACTTGTTTTTTTTACAGCTAGTGTGTGTGTTCAGAACTTCTTTCAAGAAAGTTTGCCTTACTTTTTTGGAGCATCATTAAAATAGGTAGTGACAAGTTGTTTTTCTAGTAATTTCACCCTGTTGCTGTCCTCAAGTTTCTGTCTTTTCCTGTGAACATTTAGATGTTCCTAGTTCTGCTGAGTAATTTTGGATTGTTTGTGCATCAGGTTTAAATTTTCAGGACAATGTTGGGGTTTTGTTTTGTCAGGCAGTCAATACTGTTAGGTCACTTACCCTGGCCAGCTGCCTGTGTGATGTTTCCAATGTCAATGTTTTCCAGGGCCTTGATAGCACTATTCTGGTCTACCACACATATGCATGGTCCAGAGGCCGGCCTAACAAGCAGATACTCTACACCATCCTTCAGTATTCAGAGCTTTTGCTCTCCCAATCCCAGACAGTCTCCGATGCATATGACAAACTACCTCAACACTTAGTAGCAAGTGTGCCCTTTCTTCAGCACTGATGCCAAGGTTGCAGGTTCATTTGTACCTCATACAGGCCACACCTTTACGGTGGAACCCTGGTGGCCCTGTGGTTATGTATTGGCCTGTGATCAAAACTAGCAGCAGCTCCGAGGGAGAGACTCTACCCCCATAAACAGGGAAACCCACAGGGGCATCATTATGAGTCAGCATTGACCCAATGGCAGTGCGTTTGGTTTTGGTTTATCTTCAGTTAGGAAGGCCTGGCAATCTAATTCTGAAAAACCAGCCACTGAAAACTATGCAGGACATTGCTCTCCTCTCCCACACAGCGTCCCCCAAGTTGGATTCCCCTCTCCACCTCCTCTGGGGAAACTCTTGACACCCCCTGGTTCCCAGCTTCCCCGTTCTTGGTGGAAAGTAAAGGGTTTAGCCTCCTCCCATCATTAACTGGGATTCTCACCTAGAACTTCGGGGGAGAGGGGTTTTCTGTTAAATTCGCCTTGTGAACCCTGAACTTTTGATTCTTTTGTCCCTGTAAGGTTGTATACGCAGGGCCCTGGTTCACATTCTTTCTCTGGTTTGGGAGTGGACATTATCATTTTGGTTTTCAGGTGATTTTTGTCTTCTAAGCAGCGCTGGTTCTTTTCAGCAGGGGCATGGGCCTGAATGTCTTCCACTCACCAGACACAAGGGCACTCTTAAATCTCTCTTCAGACGCAATGGTCCCCACAACGACAGCTTTGTTTATCCAACTATATCCTACCCTATGTCTTGTTTTTTTCTGTGCTTGACATGTGTATGGCATGGAATTAAAAATGGTAAGAAACATTTAATGTTGTCATGAAAATCAATCACTTTAGCAATATTTTCTTAGGGTTACTCAAAGTTATTTATCTAGTCATAGATGCTGCATATGACAAACGACCTCAACACTTAGTAGTTTAACAAGACAGACATTTATTATTTCACATGGTTTCTGAGGGACAAGCATCGAGATGAGCTTAAGTTGAATTGTTCACATGTGGTTGCAGTCGAGCCATTAGCTGGGGCTGAAGTCTGAAGGCGTGACTCTGGGTGAAGGATTGAATCACTTAGGTGGGTGTTGGCAGGCGGCTTCGGTTCCTCATCAAGTGGAATTCTCTAGCACTGCTCATGCCAGGAAGCTGTTTCCCAGAATGAGTGAGTCAACAGAATGATTCCATCTGCACCCCAGATGGAAACCAGTCTTGTACAACGTACTCTCAGAAGAGGCATGCCACTGGTACAATATAGGAGACTACACAAAGCTGTGAGTACCGGGAGGTGGACATGGCTGAAGACCATCTTGGCCACCACCTGATTTTCACCAAAATTCAAACCCTTTATCATATCCAGAGGAGGTTCATGATATCAAGCACAAGAATTCACTTTATTTCTTCATTTGTAAAAACCATGGATGTATGGTTGTAATTTTATCAATGCAGATGTACAAGTTTCCCAAAAGGTATTAAAAATTAAACTTCATTACATTGCAAGCTAAATCAAAACAGGAGATACAAAGAACAAGATTAAAAAACTAAAATAATTTTAAAAAATCAACTAAGTGGTAAAAGATAATTTAGCAAGTCTCAGTGACTAGTAGAAAAAAGCTAGTGTTAAAATATGGCTCAAATAAAAGTAACATTGTAATTACTTTAGTAATAGAAATTGTATTGAAACAGTTTTCTTACTGAAACTTATGATCATAATTCCAATAAGATTTTATCCTTGCATCTGTGCAATTAACATGCGTTTATCAATCACTAAGTGGGGTTTGGGAGAAACAAGGAATCTTTTAAGAGCCTCAATATAAGCCACATAACCCAAAGAAGCTGAGGAGATGAAGTTGTGTTTTTCAGTGTATGCAGCCTACACCATTTTGCGTATTTATTTAAGTGGGTGGGTGTGTGCGATAAGAATAGATGCTTATTGTTTGCTGCTACTACACTAAAACATTGGAAAGATATGTGAGAAACTAATAAAAATTATCTATTAAAATTAGAGAATGTAAGATAGGTGCATATAGCAAACTGTTCAATTTTTAATGTGGATTTTGAATTTTGAACTTGTGTCTATTACACATAAGAATTTCTTTTAATCACAAAGAACTATGACTTGGATTAAAGTTTTATTTCAAATTGTTTTCTTCCAAAATGTGAGTCAGATTATCGAATTTGTGTTGTTCACCATTTTTAAAAAAGGCCTATTCTTTAAGAAATCTAATATCTAAATTGTGCTGCTACAAATTGGGCAGTTGAAAACCATAGTCAGGCTATTACTTGAATGACTCAATTATAAGGTGAGATATTCAGGTAACAGAGGAGTTGAGTCGTTCTACATACTATGTTTCCAATTCTAATTCTTGGTCCTAGATGAGCTTAATGCGATCTAACAGGTTCAAAGATGGCCTTCTCGTTGTCGGATGGTTATCCTCCTGGTTTCTTTTCCAACCACCCAGTGAACGCGGTTATAGCCAACACTCACGGCCATCGAGTCTACGCTGACCCACAGTGACCCTGTAGGACAGGGTAGAGTTGCCCGAGAGTGTAATTCTTTATGGGAGTAAAAAGCCCCAGCTTTCTCCTGAGAAGCAGCTGGTCTTTTCAAACGGCTGACCCTGAGGGCTCCTCGTCTCCATCACAGCCACCACTTGTACACCAGTAAAGCCCCAGAGAACTGGAGCTTGGCGAGCCTACCTTCTCTTCACACAGATTTCCCGCCATTTTCAGGGTGTAGCATCCCCACTTTTCAGAGGAAAATGTTTACATTTTCCTTCCTGACAGGTGCCTTGCCTTACACAGGTCCTGGCTTTCAAGGTTTTACGGTATATCAGCTCCAAGAAGGAAAGAATGATTTTGTTCATTTTTCAACCAACGGAGTCTAATAAAGTGCTATGCACA